GGCCGCGACGGCCCTCCTGGCCGCCGCTAGCTGGCCAACTGCCGTCCAACTTTTGCATCTTCAACCCAAACCTAGACCGTGGGCCACTTGGGGCCCTTCTGCAAGCCCAGCGTGCGCTCCCCGAGGCCTTTGTCCCGCCCTCTGCCTGCCCGTGTGTGGGCTCAGCCCGGCTCACGGTCACCCCGGGCCCCCCTGCACCTTCGCCCGACCCTCCGTCCGCCTTTGTCTGGCCCCTTGGCAGGGAGAAGTGAAGGACCGGCTGATAGTTGAGCAATCCCACTTTGAGACGGCGGCACGATCGATGGTATTGTGGGTCATCACAAAAGTCAGGGCTCGGCTAGCCGAGAGCGCGTTCTGGAGAAGTTTGTGTTGCCCTCTTTGGATTGATACACAGCCCGAGGGCTCGAATTCCTCCCTTAGATCCGTTGTAATGTGCCAACCACTGTGGGGAGGAGTGAAGAATTATGTGCCTGCAGGAGCGTGTTGGCGAGGAGTGACTCACAGCTAGTTGTAAAGTCTTTATGACTCAGACTAGTATTCTCAAGATTTTAGAGGTAGAAGGAATCTTTGCGTTTATCTGACTCCAAATTGAAAGGAAAAAACACAAAGCCTTACACCACCCTTGAGACCTAGTCAGCCGTTCTCAGCTTAACCCTGTGCGGAGATAGGAAGCCTGTGTAGCCATAGAATGGACCTGTCCAGTCCACGGGTCTGCTGATCATCAGGAGTCACTGTCACCTGTGCCTGGGACTCAGGTTATTAACAGACAGTCCCGGCTTCTTTGCCCGTGCTTTGTTAGTAGGGCTAACACAATAGTAAGTAAATATAAAACACACTCACTTTTGATTGTGTCACTCCCTGACCAGTGGAAAGAATAATTGGGATCAATCATATATGTAGTCATCAGCCCCTTCACATGCACACGCATACCCCTCCCCAAAGCAACAACAACACAAATAGGACCCAAAGTGAGGACTACTAAAGCACAGTTCTCTGAATCACGTGGGGTGTTGCCAGGAGTCAGTCATCCCAGCATCCTCTGGTGCTGCTGCTGGTGGTTCAGGGTGCCAAGCATTTATAAATAGTAACTCATTTAATCCTTTTTGAAATCCGCTGATGTGGGTTTGGGACCTAGGAGAGTTTTCTAGAGAGCTAATGTTTTACAGATGAGGAACTTGAGAGTGAGGCAGGTTAGATAATTTGCCGTCCGTTTTTCGGTCACTAAATGTCATACTAGCAAGCAGCCTGTCTCCATAATCACACCCAACGACGGTGTCCACCAGAGCAGAGAATCGGGATGAGCTCACCCAGTCGTAGGCACTGGGCATGTGTAGGGGGAAAACCAGCTGGAAGATTATTGCCATGTGGAGAAATGGTAATCGCTCACAGTGTCACTGCTGAAAACAGTCAGCCCAACAGCTCTGCATTGTGCAAGTCAGAGGCAAAAGAGGACAGGGAGTGTGGAGGAGGAAGAATATGAATTGCTGATGTGGGTGAACCAGAGGTCAATGCCAAAGGGGGGAAATGCCAGCTTTATTCTTTGCCCCTTTTCTGTTATTGCCACTTTCGAGGCCATCGCTAAGGCTCTGCATCCCACACATTTCATACTGTCACTGATACTCCTATTGTTGTATGCTGGTAACTAAACCCTGACTCAGCCGCCCTGTGTGACTGAGTGGACTGGAGTGGTCCCACACCGTTTCCCTTTGCAGAATCTGACGGTCAGGTCTTTCCTCTTTTGGAGCTGCCAGGGGGTTCAAACTGCAGGCTGTTTAGTTTACAGCCATGCACCGAACCATTGCTTCACTAGGGCTCCTAATGATGTACTGTACTGCACATTCACATATGTTAAGTTATGCTTGAAATTAAAATGGAGAAAACCTGGTCAGAATGCCCTGACCACATAGGAAAGGGTGGAGTACAACTGAAAACGATTTTCAGATTTTAGTTCTAGAGAACAAAAACTTTAGCTCTCTAGAAAAACTCCTAGGTCCCAAATCCCCATTTTCTAAGCATGCTGCAGTGTTACTTAACCAATATCTTACTGTGAAACATAAATCCCTTAAGATGTCCACAAAGGCTAAAAAAGTCCACAAGGGTATTTTAACCCTCCATAGCAAGCATGGATTGTATGCTTTCATTCTGGTTGAGGCAGGGCACGAACAGCCCAGCATA